ACATACAAAAAACATAGAAAATTAACTTTAATAAGATAAAAGCTACTTGGAGCAATGGCAGAATATTCATATAATGATGAGTTCGCGTCAAGTGCTCAAAATGGTTGCCGTTCCGTTCAATACACTTTTCATGTCTTAAAGAAATAGACCTATAAACGTCCAGTATCATTTCCTCTTATATTTGAGCACATTCTTCTTCAATTGCTACTCTCATTTCAACAATTGTTTCCGGTTTTCTGCTGCAAACGTTCTCTTTTAGAAACCCCCACAAAAAGAAATCCAAGGGTGTCAAATCTGGTGATCTAGGTGGGTATTCAGCTGCCCCTCTTTTCCCAATCTATCTGTTTTGCATATTTTCATCCATATAAGTTCTCACATCACGCTAATGTATTATTAACTATTAATATTTAAAGAGTGTATACATTATTTTGAGACGCCCTGTATATATATATATATATATATATATATATATATATATATATATGGGGGGGGTAATAGTAGTAGTAGTAGTAGCAATAGTTCCCAGCAAGTGTTGTTGGTATTAAAACAGTACTCGTAAAATAACAGAGCGAGAATTTATTCTAATACTAAATATATAATTGTTTCTCACTGTCTAGTATTCTATTCAATTAGAGACATGCCAAACGATGAGGAACAAAGATATCCCCCGCACACACGCATATATATATATATTTAAATATATATATATATATATGTATGTGTGTGTGTGTGTGTTTGTATGTATGTGTGTGCGAGTGTATGTGTCCGTGCGTGTGTGTGTGCGTATAAAGCTCACAGTGAATAGCATTACTTTAAAATGCATTACTCCAATTGATTTTCTTTGTTAAATCAGTTAGATTGGTTTAAGTTTCATGAGATATTACTCGTTTTAGATATTTCAGGCCAGAATTCGATTGTTTTAAACGTCAATATTCACGCTTAAATATGTCGACTTCAGTTTACTTCATCAGCGATCTTTTCATCCCCTGAGATCAAAAACACAACGTGGCAGAGGAGTTAATGATCCTGAATACCAACGCGACAATGAGACTGGGTATTCTCACCATCCTGTAATGAGATTGCCCAACATTCACAAGACATATAGGAGAACCGATATTACAGTTCAGTACTCTTTTCTTTGTTTCTACTTAAATTTTCCTGTTTTTTAATATTTTGCTTACCTTTTGGAAGACATTTTCTCTATTCTAGTGCGCCTTTGCATATCGGTGCTGCATTTCTGTCCTCTGTTAAACAGTTTTTAGATATTTCAATTTTTGCACATCTTAATTTTGGTGTCTTCAATAATAAATCATGGCAGGATTTCTAATTCCCTCAGGATTGATTCACTGTAAAGATTTAATAAGTCCGGTAAGAAGACACATCCTTGTTTTATGCCTCTTTGTATTTTGTGTGTTTACTAAATTTACTTTCAGTCCTAATACGGGCGATTTGCTCACAGAATTCTTTGTATTATTGTAATATAATTGCCAAATAAATCAAGTTTACGCATTTACGATATCACAATGGATATCATTACTTTTTGCGTGTTATTTTTAGTTTTCAACAATCAGTTTTATTTCAGAATTTAAGATTATTATTCCGGAAAAAAAACGGAACACATTAAGCATCTATTTACCAAGCAAATAATGAAAAATATGAAATAATCTTCTATTTTTAGAAACTCCTTGTTATGAGTTGTTATAAAACAAATGATAAAAAAGTGGTATCAAAAAGATATATTATCCTAGACTTCCATTAACAGAGGCTTCCATACATGCTGCAATATACAGATCTAATTTACCTCCTAAAATATTTTGTATCACGTAAATTAATATTTCTAAGAATTCAAAATTATTCATTAATAAAAATTACTTGGTTGAAATCATTTTAAAGATTAAATATAAAAAACTTTCACATTCACACACACACACACATATATATATAGAGAGAGAGTTTCATGACAAGTCAATACAAATAGAAATTGTTAGCTCACATAATAGTAAAATTTTGAAATTTTGACATGTCAATACAAATAGAACCGTTTAAATGTGTCAACTCATGTCTTCTCTCTCTCCCCCCTCACTTCCTCACTTCGTTAATTTACATATGTTTAATACGGCTCGTCAAAAATGTGTAAATTTTCTTTTCATTTTTTGTTTGGAAGTAAAGTCTGATGATCCGCAGTCCTTTTAAAAAGGCTGTGGTGAAATAATTTATTACATGGAACTTTAAAGTGGTCTGTTTTTATTTAAATTATTTGCTCTGGATTTACATTGAGCTCTCTGGATTTTATCCTCCTTAGATTTACCCATACGGATTACCTAGTTTTTCATAAACTAACTATATATATATATATATATATATATATATATATATATATATTCGATACTACTAAAAACCCTCCATCTACCTAGGATATGTAGATGATGTTCTCATCTTAAAATATAGATGAAATACATAAATTACAAAAAATTGAAAAAAGTTTGTTCCTATATTTACATATGAACTTAAGAATAACAATAAAATTCCTTTTCTTGACGTATTGATAAACACCAATAATAATACATTTACTATCGCCTATATAAAAAAGTAACTAGCATAAGCATTTGCACTCTCAGCTATAAAAACGAATGTCACATTACAAAACAGAGATTATACAAAACCGAATAAACCGTGCAAAAGTAACTTCCAAGAATAAAATTTCGACACTGAATTAAAAAAAAAATTAAACAAACTCTCATTAATAATGATCTTCCTGATTACATTTTTGATGAACAAATTAGACTAGATATTAGAAATATTAACATAAATCAAAAAGAACATAATACTTCCTCAAATAAGACTAAACATATCAACCTACTATACCGCAAACAAATACATTCTAACTACAAACAAGGTGAAAGCACCCTAAAAAAACTCATAAGTACTAATATATTCCCCACAGATCCAAATAAAAAATAAAACTAATTATATACTATACTAAATTTAATAAAACCAACTTAATGTTCCACAATAAATCCGTGAACTAATGTTTTGCAAAAGACCGACATTGAATACCAATTTGACTGCCCTTTGGGAGATTGTATCTCTGACAAAATTAAATACATGCGTTGGCTTCACAACAACAGCATTATCAAGACGCACAACATTAAAGACATATTCCAGCCACCTTCACAATTCAGAAAAATACTAGTTTATAAAACGAGTATACTCCACCATGAAAATAAAAAACAAAGACTTTACATTCTCGAGGCCCTTTATATAAGGAACAAAAAACCAAAACTAAATAAGGTTAGTTAAGTGTATAACAACAATGTTTTAAAATGTTTATAATAGCAATGTTTTTTAAAATGTTTAAAATTGTAATAATAGAAATTCAAGTTACCTTCTTATATCAAAACATGGAAAAACGTCATAGATTTAAGAGTTAATTTTAAATTAATTATAACAGAACGCGTTCATGCATGTTTAAAATAATTAAAACATATCGGGTTTCATGCGTATTTACAAAAGATCACAACTATTAGTTACATTAAGTTTTTGTCTTAGCAATTCACCCTTAAAGATGATCTCGGATGATATTGAAAGGAAAATGAAAATAAAATTTTTAAAAAATACGGTGCCTTCTTTAATAAATTTAATATTATCATTAAGAAGTCGATCAGAGAAGTTGAGAGGATTGAAATAAAAATAGACATATCTACAGATTATTCATCCAAATATGCTTGAAGGAAGATATGTTGTCTCAGATTAATTTAATATGTGTGAATTACCAATGCATTCTTGATAAAGACATTGGAAGGAGTTCTTCGTTGCCGTTTCCATAGTTTAGAGTTCAAAGATTTCCATCTCAAACCGGTTTCCACCAAAATATAAGGTCCAATCTACTCTACCAGTTAAATCATATGTAATAAGTAGAGGATTCATACTTTTTGTGCAAGGGAGTCTATGCAAAAGCGAACACAAGAGAAGAGCCTGGAATTTGAACTCATTTCGTTTGTTCAAATTACAGTGCCGATATCGCATATCCTTGAAAAATAACTGTTGACATAGGACCTAAAATATAATCCAGCAAATAACGCTGAGAAGTTATAAAAGAAAGCAATATTCTACTTTAATTATGTTTCTTTTAAATTAACCATATATGCCATTATTCATGCATCTAACACGTTATAATAACATTAATAAAATTTAATTTATTTAGGAATTTTTGGGGTGTAGTATTATCAAAATTCTGTGCATTTACACGGTCCGAATGTGCTGACATGTAACAATCAACAAGATTAATATCTGCAAGGAATTATTTTTAAAATATATAAAAGTGAGTATTGGATGTTTGGGAAATTAACCGATGATTTAATTATATTTATTTTCTTGAAAATATTTTGGCTCTTTCTTCGAAAGATAGTTTTTAAAGAAATAAAGAAAAGTTCATTAATGCTGATCTGATTAAGTACAAATATTTCCACTGAAATACAGTAATTAGTTGAAATTTCTTAAAGTGCAATTGAATCGAGCGTTAAAAAATTATCACTTTCATTATTACATTTTAAATTTTAAACAATTAAAGTACAAATATCTCCTGCTGTGTATATTGTACAGAATTTTTATTGGCAGAAAATTTATGGAAATTGAATTAATTTTTATACACGTCTTTTTCGCCACTGTCAGTTTGAGACATTTTTCACGTATGTGCGTGTAAAGTTGGATGAGAATCCGACAAGATGATAAATTTACAAGACAGTTTGGAAAAGTTTCATTTAGACATGTTCCTGTCATAATTAGAAAAAGAATTTTATTCCACAAGAACAAAATCTACATGATTCTGAACGCTTGATTTTTATTTTAGCTGTGTTGCTACAGAAACTAGATTTTAACTTATTTGAATTCGGTTTTATTGAATACTTTTATTTTTATTATTTTATATTATACTTTCCTGGATTTTATATTCCGCATTATTTCCGTACTAATTACGTAAGATCTGTTCTAACTGAATTAGCTTACGTTCATATCACGTTAGAACACTGGTTCTCGTACGATCACCGAAATTAAGCAACGTCGATCTTGGTCAGTGTCTAGATGGGTGACAGCTTGGGAATACCAAGTGCTGTAAGCTTGGCTGTGCGTGCAGTGTAATTAGAGATGACTCGGATTTTGAAATCGGAGAACCAAATTCAAAATCGAATTTCAGTTCGGTTCATTATATTTACTTACGCAAATATACCCTTGAGAAACTTAGGGTCTACGTCTCCTTATCACCAACTATAAATTTAATTAGTAAGATTTGTATCAGTAAATTATCATCTCCAAAATTTTCTCATAATCTAAAAATATTTAATGGCTGTAAATAACATGCAAAAGGTTAATAAACCGTAACAAACAAATGAATATTACTACATTAGTGCTGATAAAATGTGTCTGTGAAGCTTACGATCGCCTGTCATTTGCTAACTGGAAAAAGAAATTACTTTGTAAATTGGAACACCTCCAAAATAAAACTATTTTTAATCAACACAAAGCATCTTTTTTTCACCCCCGTTCTATCAACATATCGGTTACTAAACCCCAGGAGAGCAACTTATTGCGCCTTCTTGGTCTCACGTTTTCAAATGACATGAAGTGGAGAGATCATATATATATATATATATATATATATATATATATATATATATATATATATATATATATATTCTTTCTTTTTTCTATTTCTATATATATATTTTCTCTCTCCGTATATATATATATATATATATATATATATATACACACACAGAGAAATAGATATACATTTTCTTTTTTTTTCTATTTCTATATATATATATCTTTTCTCTATATATATATATATATATATATATATATATATATATATATATATATATATACGGTGAAAGAAATAGATATATATAGAAATAGAAAAAAAAAAAAATATATATATATATATATATATATATATATATATATATATATAAATATATATATAGAGAGGGGGAGTGTAATATATATATATATAGGTAACTATACTCGTCTCGAAAAACCTTCAATTTTTTATTTACCAATAATCAAATCAATCTCGAAGGAAAAAAAGGTTTTAAAAAAAAAGACCCATGAACATGAAATCTGTCGAAAAAAATCGCACAGATACAGGTTCACCCCCAAAAAAACCGACACGAGTAAACAACTAACTAAAAAGAGCTCAATACAACCGTAGATATATATATATATATATATATATATATATATATATATATATATATATATATAGAGAGAGAGAGAGAGAGAGAGAGAGAGATAGGAAAAGAAATTGAAAGAATGAATACACTGAGTAAGATCAAATCTAGTTGAGATAAATAGATAAGAGACACAAACGAACACCGAGAAGGAGTGATAGCTAGCACATCCATTGATAGACGGAAGCATATATTTAGAAATAATAAATAATGAAATGCAGAATTGGGTAGCTAGGTAGATACAGCTAGAGAAAGAAAGAATAAAAGCAGAAAAATATGTAGGCGATCGAATTATAGATTTACCTATATATCGAGATAGATCAATGTAAGTTTCACTGTAGTTACTTACATATATAGATATGCAAGAATATAAAATTACTAAAATATATAATGGAACAAAAACCAGTTTGTTTCTTTTCGTTTCCAAAGTGGCATAGCCGAATTGCATTTATATAAAAGACATTTCTATCTCAATGTCTGTTTTTCCGAGTTTACCCAGACGAATAAACTACAATTTTTGTTAGATTCAATCAATTTTGTCATGAGGATGCATCTTACTTATAGTAACGAAATATCTATAACTTTTCTAAAAAAAATAATCGATATGTCTTCAATATTGATATGCGAGAAAAACAAAGCATTTTGTTTGGACTGAATCAAACACAAGCTCTAACATATGCCATTATCAGTGGAGAATAATAACGCGTTTATGTGGGTAGCATATAAATTATCGGTGCGTAAAGTGGAATTTACGAACTGAGTTCAAGTTCCGCCTATCTCTTTTGCATTCACTTTCTCAGTAACGCACTAGTTAAGACTCGATCCCATCGCTTCTTTACGACCACCCTATATATTTTCCTGAGTTCTGAGGTTGTAAGACATCTTTGGAGAAAAACTACTTCGATTTCCAAAAGATAACGGGAAACTACACCACATTTTTTCCTAAAGAAATCATGGCAATTTAAAGATCTCTCATCATTTGCCTATTTCCAATTATGTCTTGCGACCTGTCAGTCTAGAAGCACCGCCACATATATGTCTTCTCTTAGCATAAATCGCGAAATTGTATCCATCGCGTTTCTTAGGCCTGTCGCAAAGGTTACAGCACCTTGTATTCTCCAACAGTCACCCATCTCTGTACTGATGTTGCTTAACTTCGGTGATCGAACTACTGTTTTCCATAAGCTAAAAAAAGGGTCACATAATAAAAGAAATTAGTCTGCCCAAAGCCATGATTGTTTACGTCCTGAAATGTAATACCATAAATAAACATTTATATAGACTTCTTGATGATACGTATTTGTCAATGGAGGTTTGCGTTCACACTTGGAAAATATACAATATAGTTACTCTACCAAACACTAGGTCATGCGTCTTATTTAGTTAAGTAAATCTTAATAACAATGTATAAATATGAATTAAAGCTGGTTTCATCGTTTTTTACGCAAGAAATCATATTTTTATAGAAGTTTGAGGGAAGAGGCTTCTTTAATCCTAACCTAGGCTCAGTTAAAATGATGCCTGCGTGCACGCAATTCGTGCGTCAGTTGATATTCGTGTGAGTTCTATTTCCTTTAGCTTCTTCATATATTTCTCTTTTTAGCCATGAAAGTTATGTTCATTTATCCACTTTTGACGTTTTAGGCAAAACCTTTTGATCCTGGACTTCATCTGAAAACTAAAAGCTCCAAACCATTCTGACATTCTGACCTCTTTTACTCTTCCTTCTATCGTTTTTAATTTCGAATTATTTCTCTCTTACTTTTATCGTGCCACTCGCTTATCTCTTTCCATTTTTTACTCTTTATATTCACTGTAATATTTCTCCTGTATCGTTTCGTATTTTCTCTTTATTTCTCATACTTTTCTTATTCTACTCTCTCTTTCTTTCTTTTTTCACCTTTCTTTATCTCCTCATATTCTTTCTTTCCTTCTCATTTTTCCTTTTCCGTTCTTTATATTCTGTCATTTGGCATTAAAACTTTTTTTTTCTCTTAGATTTCATGCTGGCAATTAATTTCATTCCTTAAAAAATCATTTCACGCAAGACTCTTGAAATCGATACCAACACTTTTATTTACGCTTAAAACTATTCTACTAAAAAACAAAAATTGCTCGATCATCTCTTTTGCTTACCAAAACACTTTAGAAAGTCGGACACTTAAACCAAGTGCGAATCTTATAATACAAAATATACATTTTTTCCCAGTTTTGTTTACGCGTGCCTCGTCCAAATTATATACAGCTAAGACTTATAAATACTTACATTTTTCACTTCAATCGCAACCTAGTCAACTCAAATGACTACTTCGTTTTGCTTAACAATTCCAGAATTGTATCATTCTTTTTTCATTTTAAATCTAACGTTTATTATTTCAAACGTTATATTCCCATCACTGGATAAATTTACAATACACTGATTTTTTTCAGGTCATAACTTTAAGTATCATAGACGTGTGTTTTAAATAGACGGACCTGGACGTTTATACTTTTATTGAGAAAAATCTGAGATCGACATCCTTAATCCAACCACGTCATTTATTAAATATTCGTCATTTATTAAATATTCAAATGAAACGATTTCTTCTGGAAAGTCTGAAACCGAAATAAAAGAATGATAGGATATTTCCACAATATTTAATAAAAAATCGTTGGAATGAGGATAACCTAGATTAGACTTAAAACGACAGATGTGGTTCTACAGAAAGATGCTGAGAATATCATGGACAGAACATGTGAACAACGAGGAGGTTTTAAGGAAAATGTGAAACACGCAGAAAGAAACAGGTGCAATTTCTCATACACAAAAAAGGCTTGTAGAATTTAAAACTCAAAAGACATATTGAACGCAAGGGGAACACAGGAAAACATAGAATAAACTACCAAACGAGTTTATGTAAATAGATGACAAGTCAGGGGCCAGGAGTTTGTTAGGAGTTAGATTTTCTTAGAGGTAGAAAGGACAAGAAGTTGCGCAGAGCCATGAAAATCAACGTTCTGAATAAAAGTATGAATATATACGATAATACGATAATCCATATATATATATATATATATATATATATATATATATATATATATATAGAGAGAGAGAGAGAGAGAGAGAGAGAATCCATATATATATGTATATATAGTCATGGTTGTAAACAATGCTAGATTTTGTGTGTACTACAGACTAACGTTGACTAGTCGAATATCCACTCACTTATATGTTGTTTTGGAGGCTTCGATATCAATCCAGCAAGTCCATTGTACAGCTCCTTATTTATTGAACTTGCTTTAGATTGAAAAACATGTCATAATGACATAGTGACTTTTTAATAATACCAGGAAAAACCCGTTCATTGTCCCAATATGCCATCGTACTATGGCATAAAAAATGAATACGTAATCCAGTTCAGTAGATCTAATTTGCTCCAAAATCTAATGTTAATACTTGGTTTTAATTCTGTTGGCAAAACATCCCAATGAACAACAATTTTTTGTTATTATTTCTTTTTTATATTTCATGCAAATATGATTTTAATTCTGTCTCCTACCGACTGAAATAAGTCACTCATACTCTCGCTATATTTAGTCAATAATCACTGTGATTGTTCATGCTAGGAACCCGAAGATGAATCATTGATGAATCTGTACACAATCCGCTTGAGTCGGCTGTTCCAGAATGTTTGTGAAGACATAGAAAGTAAACAGTGTTGGTGTATAGAAAAATATGAATCGCTAATGGATGAAACAGTAATTGCGTTGTGAAATTATTATTATTATTATTATTATTATTATTATCATCATCATCATTATTATCATCATCATCATCAATTACCACAAAATAGAAAGGCTAAGTAAAAATGTATGCGTTGGAATGAGGGAAGTTTTTTTTTCTGCCA